ATAATTCGGTTTTAAAATAATTCCTAGTTGTGAGGTTTTTTAGGACTCTGAAATGGCCGTTTATAAAATGTCATGTCTTTGCATTTACCAATGTGGCTTGTAAAGTTAACAATATGGATCGTATCCACTGCTAAATTTTATGAACCCCTTTATCGTCCCCCTTTATTACCATAGAGAAATGTGTGGCTTTCCGTACACGGAAAATATATGGTTTGTAGTTTTGAAACCCAGAATCCAAGTCTAACGGTGGAGCGGGCTCATAATTATTCGGGCATTGAAAAAGTTTTTGAAAACCGAATTATACCCTTTTTCGAGTATAAGATTGGAAGACGACGTAATGTTCTACCAAGTGAGTGGATGGATGAATATTTGTATGCACGCCTTCCGTGAAATATAATTGCATTTTTAAGGGCATCGAAAATCAATGAGAATAATTCATGCTACATAACTAGTCGTTTTTTAAAGAGCGTAGTTTTTTGCATGCAACCGGAAGGAAGTTCGTTCGAATGCCGGCATCCTATTGTAACTGAAATACTATAGAATTATGTTGTCGACTGAGTAGTTTAATAATCCTTCTTAATCAATCTTTTCGAAACGACAACGCATTTTGGATGAGCACGTTCATTATTCAAGTAGTCGTCAATGAGCCATGGTATGTCTTCGCGTTTCGACAATACTGAGATAGGTAATGCGTATAGTACAGTAGATGTGCTAACTCATGAAATGTCAACCAAAATTTCAAAATGCATTCTCGTTTCGAAAAGATAAATTAAGTAGTGTTGTAAAACGAATCATGATGCAGCATAAACATATAATGATTTAGTTACCTCATGGTGTCGGCTTTCGAACGAACTGATTTTCAACTGCATGCAAGATCTATACTCTGCAACAAATGACTATTTAATTAGTGTGAAATTTTCTCATTTATTTTCGATGCCCCCCAAAATTCAATTTTATTTCACAAAAAACATGCATAAACATATTCATTCTTTTATTTATTCGGTAGAAAATCACGTCTTCTTCCAATTTTGTACTCAAACGAAGAGTGTAATTCGACTTTAAAAAGTTTCTAATTATGAGATTTTTTAATACCGTTGAATGGCTGTTCATGAAACGTCATGTATCTGTATTTACCAATGTGGCTTGTATAGTTAACAATATTTTTTAAATCCACTGCTTAATTTTATGAAGCGCATATAGTCTCCTCTTAACACCGTAGAGAACTACATGGTATTCCGTACACGGAAAATATACAGCTTGTAGTTTGGAAACCCAGAATACAAGTGTAACAGCAGGTCGAGTTCAAAATTATTCGGGAATTAGAAAAGTTTTCTCAAACCAAATTATATTCTTCTTTTGAGTATGAAATTGGAAGAAAGTCTAATTTTCTTCTGAATAAATAAAAAACTGAATATTTTTATGCATGTTTTCCATGAAATTTAATTGAATTTTCAAGGGCATCGAAAATCAATGCGAAAATTGCATACTAATTATGTAGTCATTTTTTGCAGGGTATAGATCTTGCATGCAGCCGAAAATAAGTTCTTTCGAAAGCCGACACCCTGTGGTAACTGGATCATTATAGATTTTTACTGTATCATGATTAGTTTTACAACACTGCTTAATTTATCTTTTCGAAACGAGAATGCATTTTGAAATTTTGGTTGACATTTAATGAGCTAGCACACCTACTGTACATACGCAGTCTAATGAAATAGCAATAGAATTCTGAAATGTGCTTTCATTTCTAAGAAAATACTTAGATGGGGCTTCCGTAGACGTTATTGTGTATTCTGGTGCTAAAGTACTCCACTCACGTCAAGATGCCGTCCTTCAAAGGACTTCTGATCAGCCACCTGTCTAAACACTTTGCCTTACAAATGACCATTTAATGAGCTTGAGTTTTTCTTATTTAGCTTCGATGTTCTCACTTAACCAAACGCACTTCTTAGAAAACATATTCATATTATTCTCCCTTTTTCTCATTTGACAAAAGATTACATTTTTTTCAAGTTTTAAAGATGATGAAAGGATATAGTCCAGTTTTAACCAGGTTTCTCATTTCCCGATCGATTCTGAACCTCGCCTACCACTGGACTTGCATTCAAAGTTTTTAAACCAAAAACTACGAACTTTTCGTGTAGGGAGAATCATATTTTTGCTGTTCGCTGTTAGGCAGAAGTCAAATAATATTTGTAAAATTTAGCTATGGAGGCGAACCATGTTGACTTTGTCAGCGGCATAAATAGATACGCTGATGCGATATTATATGGTTGGACACTCCACAGACTTGAAAAACCTCATAATTAGAAACTTTCTGAAATTAAATGATAATTCTTCTTCAAACCTAAAATTTGAAGAAGACGTGTTTGCTGCCAAATGGGTATAGAAAAGAACGCTTTTTCGTATGTTTTCTGTAAAATGTACTTTAATTTATAAGGGCTTCGAGAAACGGTGAAAAAACTTCATGCAAAATAAAAGGTCACTGTTTACGGAATGTTGTTTGCGCAGGCAACCAATAAGAAGCCCATTTAAAAGCCGGCATCCTAGCGTGAATGCGATAACTTAGCATTATGATATGATATTTAAAATTACTCCCCTACTTTAGTTATCCATTCGAATTCAAAACGCATTTCAGAACGTCGGTGAAGATTTCCCGAGGTCGCACATCAATCTTATTCAAAAATATTTTGTGCCGTTTGTTGTGAGTCCCTCCCTGTCCTCAGCGGTGACGTACGTATCTTCGTCGTGCAAGTGTAAGAAACACGGCTTTGCAAGTCGAATTTCTCCCGCAACAGTTGCAGCCATCCATGTGTAATCTGACTCGCCCAGACTCTGACATCTTATTGGGACTGCTTGTGGCATGTATGTTAGCAAAATGACACTTTTAGGCCTCCACATCAAACAAGGTAATTTTGCTGGCATTACCTTCCACTGCGTTTAGTTTTAGTTTCTCCGTAATGAAAGCAAAAATTGGCCCTTCTCACTGTATTAGGCGCATTTGTCCATGATATCAATACGAATAAATGGGCAACTTCGCCTCGAGGAGGGCGTCTTGCCCAAATTAATGTCATGCAACCGCCTTGAGCGTGGCTCGCTAAATATTATTCTCACATCAACCATTTCGAGTTAACAGTGAGTGGTGCGTTTTCACCCAGCCGTTGCCCAGGTAACCTTAACAGCAACAAAATCCAAGTAAACAGATTTCTGCCAGATTCCCGCGATGAATTAATTTGCTCCTCGGAGCCAAATTTGCTTAACACTCTAGCCGAAAGCTGACATAAACATGCATTTTAACAGTCATTTCACCTCTTACGAATTCACCTTCTGACAAAAGCGAAATGCCTAATTAGTTGCGGCTGTAAATATCCGACTTCTTCACCGCTAAGTACATTGTGTCGAATGTATAGCAGCCGCTCCAGTCCCTCTTTTCTCCGGCTCCGTTTTGTCGGTCGATGGCCGCGACAATCGTTGCCAGGCCGCTGACACACAACCACCCCCGCCGATTATAATTGGGCCCCCCTCCTGTCCAGCTGCAGTGACCCCCGGCTGCCCCCACAAACTATAATCACCTCATGCGCGTCGGACGACCTGGCTTGATACCCGTGAGCCCCTGTAATTATGTTTCCCCCTAATCCTCCCCTAATCCGTTTAATCTCATAACCAGCATTCAACCAGTCACCCCCACCTACTGACACAGGCTTTCACTCCCGCATAAACTACACACCGCGACTGGCGCTCTCCGTGAACGGACGCTTATCTTTGTTGCAAGCAAACAGCCAACTTACGGCAACCTGCCCTGTGTACAGAATAAACTAGCTCTCCCAGCTCCCTGACTTCTGACATTAGACGAAACGAACTTATTGTGCGTGGTTTAATTTGATCTCACATTCTTGACCACCACAAATGCTCAACGAGATCCGAAGTTCAATGAGCTCAAATTCTCCCGCACCATAGCACTGTCAGACACTGCGCCCAAATGCCCCTTTGATCTTCTTGACATTTCATTGCCTTCTGAAAATTGTAGGTGTGCGAAGGAGGCCCTGAGCTTAATGCTGCGTAAGCTTCACATTGCTGTCGGGGAGGACAATCGAACTATCCAGACAACAAATTTAGTTAGAGCCCGAATCAGAGACGAGCGTTTCACTGATTTTGAATGGCTGCGTGGAAAAGTTTCGAAGCACATGGCATAAGAGTGTTCCAATGCATTCGCTCATGAGAAATCAGCAATCGCAATCGATTTTGCAAATTCGCCTCATATTGCTTATGGATATTCGTTTACATTCTGAAACTTAAGCCAGATTAGATTGGACTTCGACCTCTGAGCAGATAATTTAACTGAAGACTAAGTGAGTAAGTTGGCTATAAGTGAAAGAAATTGTCTGCGATCGGTAAATACAAATTATTATACCTCCAAATTACGACTAATGTACTCTGTACTGGTTTTTTGTCATTACCCGTCGCAAGAGTTCTTGAAGAGAAACTGAAATTTGCTAACTAAAACTACCTGAAATTCTCAGATGAAAGATGGGCACGAGCCTTTTATCCCATTGGGGGGGGGGACGTTAAACAATTAATGACATGTATTATGTATTTTCTTCCTTAAAAGTGACAGATCGCGTAAAATATCGAAAAGACATACAAGATGACACAGAATAAACATCAATACACATAGAAGGGGAGGGTGTGTTCTGCGGAATTATTGACAGACCAATATTTCGGTTGAGGTACCGAAGCAAGCTAGTTTCCAGATTTCAAATGAAGCACCACAAATAGCATGCGCCGACGTAAAACGACGATAGGGCTCATCAGACAAATAAAAAGTTAGACTTTGAAGCAAGCAACGCAGCAAATAGTGGGTTATTACTGTACTAAAACTCTATAGCGATAAGACGTGTTTTAACAAGACTGAAACCTTACTTCGACGAAGATGGGTCTTCTGAAGCAGACGACAGCAGTCGGTGAGTGATGCATCGCAAGTCGGCAGAACATAGACGCAGTTAGGATCCTCCAGCATACAGTGGCCAGTAGATTGTGTTAAACAGCATGAAACAGACTGGATAAGCGCACAAACAAACTGTGTCCATCCATTTGACTTTGATGTCATCCTTATTATCAGCCGACTGATTGGGTGCTTCTACGGTGGCCTGGGGGGAATCCGTCTTCGTGTTTTCCTCTGGACTGACGCTGTTATGCTTCTTCCAACCAGTAAAAGGACTCAGCTGCCTTGTCATTGCCTGTGATGGCAGACCCGGTTTATCCACGTCCATGCGTGTGCACATCCGATTGGCCAAAACTGATTCAGCCAAAGTGCTCGAGACGAAGGCGAAACAGACGAAGAACCAGAGATCGATGGCCTTGATGTAGGACACGTTTGGCAGGTGAGCCAGAAGAGACGCATTGTGAGTAATGAGAGCGAGGACGGAAAGCAAACCCAGGGAGACGCGGGCGGGGATAGCTCGGGGATCAATGAGGAAAGCCAACCAGGCGATCAGGACAACCAGGCTTGAGGGTAGGTAGGCGTAGATGATGTAAAATCCGTACTTGCGAACCAGCCGCAGCTCCAATTCGAGGCAGGAAAATTCTCCTGTCACGACACTGGTGTTGTTGCAATCTCGGAAGGCATGCATCGGCTGTTCGAATTCGTTCAGCCCCAACTCCTCTGTCATTTCCACTGCAAGACTACAAAGTACAGGATCGAATGCTTTTTGGATGTGAACATAGTCTTCTGTATTCCACCATCGCAGTTCGAGGTCATGCTTGGCATGGCCATAGCTGCTGACGAGGATGGAACATGTCTGTGTGTCCATGGGGAAATTCCAGAATGTCATGCGACAGAATAGACGCAGGGTGAGTTTCTGGCTGTAGATAACCACGCCATTGCTGTGGACCCAGACCATTTCATTCGGTTGGGTGACCTGATGCAGCAGACCACCGCGCGCGTTCAGGAAGTAGACATCGGGCAGCCAAATGTACCTGGATAGCCACTGATGAGGCATGCGACTGTTGTGCGGAATATCTGTCCCATTGACCTGCAGACGTGAGTCGTACCAACGTTGATGCAAGATCAGGACAATACTAAATTCCATGCTGCGCACGTTCAACTCTGGAATACTCTGTATGTGTAGGCTAATGTCAACATAGATTGGACCCGGTCTCCTGACAGGCATTGTGAGTAGTTCATATCTGAAGGGTTCAAGGAGTTTTTCTCGAACCGAACTGTTCCTTTCCTGGCGCTTCAATGAGGCCGGGTCGAGCAAAGAAAGACACGGGACGAAAACCAACTGGAGCAGAAGAAGTCTCTTCATTAGTCCCTATATGTCTTGATAAATGAGTCTTTCAGGTTGAATTTGATTTGTGGAAGAGGAGAAGGAGGAGGAGGAGAAGGATTCCAAGGTCCTGTGAACAACAATAACGAAAAGCTAGAGTACAAGCGGCTGGCGGGACTACGGGCTGGCGACAAGTAGTCGGCGAAGGAACTCGATAGTTTCAAGGAGGCTTCCAATGCAGAGAATAAGAGAAACCTTTCTTGCATCAAAATACGTCTGGACTCGTTGAAAGACGCCGGAGAACACACCAACCACAAGTGGCGCGCAGTCAGCTCTAAGGATAAGAATGAAGTCGTCAACCAGATCCCGTGTGAAGCGTGCGATGTCGTATATTGTGTCCCAGCAGGAGAAACAGCCTTAACACGCCTTCACGAACACTAGTCAGCGGCTAAGGGACAAGACTACCTGTCTCAAATGGTCCTCTACGCACTAAATACGGGGTATATTTTTGCATGGAACAAGACTCGCATCGTCGACGTCTGCCCTACTAAAAAGGCCGGGGATTTTTTTAAGCCACGCATTAATGGGCATATTGAGTTACACGCCATGTACGAAAATCCAATGTTAAATTTGAAGATACGAAAACCAATAGACACAATGTATATGGTGGACGCTTCCTGGTAGAATCGCCCGAGAGGTATTAAATTTTTGGGCACGCTTGAAATGTTAACTGTTTTTGTATATTTACTCAAGTCCGACAACGACATAGGAACCTGACGTTGAAAATTTGTCATTAACGTTCTCAATTTTCATAAAGAACCCACTATTTTCAAATTATATTCCTGCGGCTGTCTCCATTGTAATAAAAATCAATAAATATATTCTTAGTTAAATAGCGCAAAAAGACTTGAAAAGCAATGGGGACTGGAATAGATATTTTAAGAAAATCACCCATCGGCAGTTCATCGTTGATGACAAATGAGTACTTGCCAGAAAAAAAAACTCGTATGGCATACATAGCAAGTAGACACGAATGCGTGGGCGTACAGCAGATGTGACAACTCATTAAATGTGAGCCAAAATTCTGAAATGTGTTTTTACCTCATAAAATATCACTAAGATAGGGTTTTAATATTGATAACCGTGCAGCGTAATCCCGCAATTATTCAGTGACTTTGTGGTGCCAACTTTTGAACGAAATTCTTTTCAGCCGACGGAAAAAATTACTCTCGGTACAAATTGACTATTTTGTAGTATGAAATTTTCCCACTGACTTTCGATGTTCTTATAAATTCAAAACAATCCTTAATAGACACGCATAACAATATCCTCTTTCTGTAATAATTCAGTTACCTCGCGATGCCAACTTTTAAACGAACTTCTTTGTGGTTGCATGAAAAAATCACACTTTCTAAAAATTGACTGCCTACATGGCATGAATTTTTCTCACTTATTTTGCATACCTATATAAATTTAAGTGTATCTCGTAGAATACATGCATTAAAATATTCACTCGCCTGCTGTTTTGGAAGAAGATTACATTTTCTTCAAATTTTGCATTTTAAGAAAGCCTTTAATTCGGTTTTAAAAACGTTTTCAATCAAAAGTATTTTAAGACGATGAAATGCTCATTCACAAAACATCGTGTCTTTGCATTTTTACAAGGGCATCGAAAATCAATGGGAAAACTTCATGCTACCCAAGTGGTCATTTTTTTCCTAGTGCAATTTTTACAGGGGGCCGAAAGAAGGTCTTCCGAAGCCGAAATCCGCAAGTAACTGAATTATTACGGGAGTATGCTGCACGGTCCTTGATAGTACAACCCACTTCAGTAGTCGTTATCTGTCGAAAACGCATTTCAGAATTTCGACATACATTTTACGAGTTAGCACATCTACCGCATTTGCAACGTTCGTGTGCTTGCATGTGAAGTCCCTTTGACTGCAAAAAGATACCATATACCTGGAGCGCCTATAAATTATTTACCTCCTGCACAATATCTGCTGCCCTAAACGTCTCCATTTCTTCCTTTTGCGATATTGAGCATGAAGCTAACTGTTGTTAATCAAGAAAGTCCTCTAAAATCTGTATTAAAACACATCTACAAACTGCTGAAAACAGATTCCTTTCTCGTAAGATTCTAAGACAACCATCTGGGTAGTTAGGAAGCTCTTGGGGAAGGCTTGATGATTCCGGTGAGGTCCGATATGCGCTCCAAAACAGGGCGAGATCTAGCGGTGACTAGCGTGTAAGCCAGTTTAAAGTAACAGTAAACGTCTGCAGTATCTCCTAAACACTTTACCACCTCATTTCGTCCGGTATCAAGACAGAGTCAAAAAGACCGGAGGTTGAAGAGGCCGCGGGTGTCTGGCATGACAAAATACCACATCTTGGTGTACCATCACACCCCCTGGTCGACACGGACACTTTAAAAGGATTTTTAACAATAGCAACTTCAAGGACGCTTCTCGGATCGCAATTCGCAAGACGTAGGTCTGAAACTGGACCTGCCACCCTAAGTCCGATTGTCGAAATTTTTTCTGGGTGCGCATTCCCGACAACGCGTACCAGACTCCGATCTAACCACCATCCCCCACTATTGGTCCAGCACCTACCGCGTTGCCCGTCAGGGAATGGCAACGTCCCGATTACTCTGGCGTCGTTTACCAGTCAATATTGGACTCGGAGGACTGAATATTTGATCTACCTTAGTGCGTTTTACTGAGCTGATAATTCTAAAGGCTTTTCCGATACCCACAGTCTCTAGAAAATGACTGATTGATTCTATCTGTGTGCAAAAGAGCATGCCTTTCCACTGGCACATTATTCTAGTTGATCGGAGAGGATTCTGAGAGAAATCTGGTGCAAGTAAGGAAATTTAGGTGCTGGAAGTTGTGCTTCTAGCCCACGATGATATCTACATCACGAAAACGATGACACTAACTCGACCAAAACACAGTTTCCCCAACAAATTTACCATGTAACTCTTTAGACAGAATAATTAGAGGACCTTGGACGAGGATTGGTTCTGCAGCCCCACCTGAAATACACCACACGGTTAGCTTTCTAAAACAATTTAAGCTAACATACTCATCTTAGCCACTTACTGGATTAGGAAGGGAAGGAAGGCGCAAGCAGAGGACAAGGTGGGCGTTATTTACAACTGGAAGGCCATGGAGGAGACCGTGTGGTAATTCGTAGTGCGTAGCCACTGTAGTGGAACAGACGGATTCCCACACCGCTCAAGCAGGACTCCAAACACGCGCAGGGAAACGTCTGTGAACTGATACCTGAAGTAACCGGTGCTGGCATATAAGCACTCCTCCCCCCGTTGCGCAGTCACTTGCTGGATTAAAATTGTAGGGAAAATACAAACACGTGATATTTGCAAGGTCGGCGTACTCGCATATACTTACGTTTTTTTAGAAAACTAACCGTGTGGTATCTTACAGGTGGGGCTGCAGAACCAAGCCTAGCCAATAAATCGTCAGGTACCTCGATGGCTGGGAACAGCAACGCCCCGATCATATTGGTCGGGAATACCTCCCGGCATGGCTGGGAAAAGGCGAAATGAGGAGCATAAGCAGCGTCATTCTCGCACATGCTTTCGACTCCGGACATCGCATGGACCCCAACGAAGATTTTCGTGTGATTTATAACGTCTCATCGAGCTACCCTAAGCTATTAGGCCAGCGCCTGTTAGCGACAGAGGAGGCGGCCGCCATCAGGTTGCGAAAGCCAATTTTGTGCGCACAGAAGAACCACGTTCAGGCTCCGCACCCACAGTGGTCGAAGGTCGACCAACGATACACCTCTCCCGCGCCCTTCCGTTCCCACCCCGCCCCTGACACTGACTACTATTACCCCCCCCCCCTCCCCCAAAGTCCCACATCCCGCCTGTGTTTTAAAAAGAACTTTTATTGATTTCTCTTATCACTGACGTGTTTTTACTTCTACCCACTTCACATATACGTGTACAAACCCGACGAGAATTTACTGAAAGCAAAGTATGCTCGCAACCTCGTCCTCTGATTACACTGGCATTGTTTGCCAGTCAATCGTAGACTCGGAGGACTGGATATTTGATCTGCGTTAGAATGTTTTACTGAGCTGATTACTGTAGAGGCTTATCCGATGCCCACAGTCTCAAGAAAATGCTTGGATTATTCTAACTGTGTGCAAAATTACCTGCCTTTTCACTGGCTCCTTATTCTAGTTGAGCTGAAAGGAACCTACGAGAAATATACTGCAAATAAAGAAAATTAGGTGCTTGAAGTTGTGCTTCTAGCCCACGATGATATCTAAATCACGAAAAGGAAGACATTAGCTCGATCAAAACACAGTTTTCCCAACAAAATTTACCATCTGAGCCTTTAAACAGAATAATTAGAAGATTTTGGGCGAGGTTAGGTTCTGCAGTCCCACCTGAAATATACGACGTTTAACTTTCTAAAACAATTTCAGTTAACATACCTAAGTAGGCCACTCGCTGGGTTAGGATGGGAAGGAAAACGCAAGCAAAAATAAGGAGGGCGCAATCACAACTGGACGGCCATGGAGGGAACCGTTTGGTGATTCGCAGTGCATAGCCACTGTAGTGGAACCGACTGATTCCCACACCGTCCGAATGATTTCATTGGCATGTCTACCTAGCCACTCGCTGGATTAGGATAATGAGAAGAGCCCAAGTAGGGCTCCAAACACGCGCAGGGAAACGTCTGTGAACTGATACGTGAAGTAACCGAGGCTGGCGTATAAGCCACTCATCCCCCGTGGCACAGTCACTTGTTGGATTAAAATTGTAGGGGAACTACAAACACGGGATATTTGCAAGGTCGGCGTACTCACATATACTTACATTTTTTAGAAAACCAACCCTGTGGTATCTTACAGGTGGGGCTGCAGAACCACACCTGGCCAATAAATCTTGTTTCAAGTCTGGCATGTCTGTTGTAAACATTTACTTGCCTGCTTGGTTATAAGTCAGGTTGCAAATACTAACATATATAAACAAAGATTCATATAACAGAGTACTTTTC